TTTCTAACGAGTGCATAATATAAGTATGTATATACAAATATATATATATGTATAAGTATACAATGTTTTAATTTCGTTAAATACATCTATCCTATGCAAATCAACATTTTATGCATCTTAAAAATTTAATCGAGTCAGCTGAAGAAGAAAAAAGAGAGTTATAAAAGATTAAAATGTTTATAAGTCGAGTTGACAGCAATTTAACTTCTACAACTGCCCTGAAGGTAAAGTGCCCTACATTTCTTTAGACAAATTTCGTTCAATATTTCAGTGGATTAATTCTCCAACCAGCTCTAATTCGGCTCTAATAAAATACATTGCTAACGAAGTAATATCGATTCCAATAGCACTCCCCTCGTTTTAGTGATTGAATGGTTTTCTTAGACAAACCATTCCCTACGAGACGGGTTAAATGCTTTTCTTTCAAACTGAAGGAAAAGAATCCTGTTGCGATTTGACTTTTAATATAATAAATTAAAGTTATACACTCCAGTTTTTAAAACTTACTTATAAGGATCTCCCATTCAACAAAGTTCCGGATTTAACGAATGAAATGGATTTTTAATTGAATGTAGTGAATGTAAAAAAGTGCACACTTTAAGCAAGAAATTTTTCACTTTTTTTATTTTAACAGAAAATTGATTTTTAGAAAGCATGAAATAATATCATTAATAATGAAAAATAAAGCAGGAGAATAAAGTCACATGGTACAAAAAGCTTACTTTCAAGACATTGATGAGTACTAGTGTTGTGGACTGGGAAAAAAAGCATAGTCAAACATACCAGAATATGGTAAAATTTACTGCTTCTGGTTCTATGGGAACACCCAAAAAATTCTAAAGTTGTAGTTTTTACCGAAACGCTTTTTTTAATATAAGAATTTTGATAAAATTATATTTCGAATTCAATTTTTTTAAATTTGTGATAATGACATTTGGTAATTGTGGTAAGATTTGGTAATTTACTTATGATGTCTAAAAGTATGGCACAAAAATCATTTATTTAGTGAGTTCTACTTTTCAGCTTTGTCTTTTTATTAAATGTTGGTAATGAGAACGATAATATTGAAAATCAGAATTTTTGTAAGACGTTATCATATTAATTAAAAGAAAACAAATACATTGTTTAAATACCGTATAGTTAAATTTTATTTATCAGAATTAGGTTTTTTTAATCAGAAATTTTCAGCACCATACAGTATGGTAATTTTATCAGAATAATTCTCTTCGTGTAGAGTGATTACGAAAGTCTAAAACAATATCTATTGTTGAAAATACAGACCATTGAACTTTTAATGTATTAACATTTAAACAAAGGAAATAAAATAAAGCAAAGTTATGGAAGTAACATAATCAAAGTTCGATAAATATATTTTTGCTTCTTAATAAGAATTATTTGTCAGTATATGTCAGTATTGTCATGGAAGTTGTTTTCTGGGTTCAGATTTTTTGTACTAGCTTCAAATTTGAATTTAACGAGAATTTATCTGCTACCCGAAGTTCTTGTTAAATACTGATCTTACTTTTAGTTATACTTATGTTTATATTAATTAAAAGTTTTCATTTTATATTTACCATTTTTTTAAAAAAATGGGCTTATTAAATTTATTAAAGAATTATTGCAGAGAAAGCATACAAACTATTTAATTTTAATTCCACCTTATTGCCCCACATATGAGGAATCAATTAATATATTAGCCAAAACATTTTGTAAACATGTGTCTATGTGTAAAATATCTTGTTCATTAAATGTGAATATATGGAAAGTTCTTTACTTATATTCATAAAAATTGCCAGAATAAAATTATAGTTTTTGATTGTCTGTCCAATATCAATTCAACATTAATGCTTGTATGCCACTAGTTTTGGATCATCGAAATAACTAACTAGAGTTTAAATAACATTTATCTTTAGTTTTAAAATATAGTATACTTCTTACTTTATTTAATATTAATTTTTGATATTAAATATGATAAAAAGTAAAAATCAATATTACATCTCATTATAGTTTTATTAAACAATGGTGAACAGAATTAAAATACATAATTTTGTGTTTTCAAAACTAAGAAAGTCAAGAATGGCGATACAGTTTTGCTAAGTAGAAGAAAGAAATTTTATTAATGTGATTCGTGATTTCAAAAAATTTCAGTTTTATAAATTTTCATTTATTATACTAATTATTGTCACTTTTCTAAAATAACTAGCACACATTAGGTGTTTTCTAAAACACTTCTCCTTCCGCTATTCGCCCTATATCACTGAATTGAAAAATATACTGGAAATGCGTGATCTTAACTTTGAAATTCGGTACAGTTTAACAAGCGCCATGCATCAATGAACTTGTTGAATCAATTGCCAAATGAAGTGTATCGATTCTAACCCACAGCCTTCTGCTGAGAAATGGAGTGCGTTATGTTTTATAGCTATAGGTTATCATAATCTGTCTTCGAAAGACTAGGTTTTACTACTAAGCTCCGCTACAATTTGGCATTTGTTCCGTTTATAAGATTTAAACTATTGATTACCTTAAAGTTATTTGAGTAAAATTTATGCAAAAAGGGATAATAAAAATGACCATGGTAATAGGTTAATTATATTACTATAAACACGACGCCCTCACGGAGTCTTATGGCCATGGTGTTTTCGTTCATTTAGCTCTTAATACATATAAATGCAAAAATTAAACACAAAATTTAAGAGAAGTATGCAAAGTTTAGCGAATGTTTTATATTCAATTATGTACGAATAAAATCATTCACTTTTTCAAAACTTCTTTCAGTCATATCTACAGATTGAAATAAATTTTAGAGGTTTCTGATAAATAGACCAAGAATGAGAAATGATTTAAGTATAAAAATTTTTTGTATGAAGATAGTAACATGGGGCAGCTAAACGATTTGTGTGAT